CAAAGAAATGCTGTTAGGATCAAAGACATCTGGATGGTCTCCGAGTAAATATTTACCTGCAAAAGTCGACAGACTTACTGGGTAACTGCGATAAATAAGACGAACAATGCACAGCCTGCAAGTGGTGCTCTCCATGGCGGAGATAAGACTTAATAAATTCTGAAACACATTCCAGCAGGCAGTAAACAAGAGGACCCAAAGGGAGGCACAGGGCTGCTGAGATCTGCAAGGAGACCAGGTCCTGGGCCTGAGGAGCATGGGCGAGTCCAAAGCACCGAGAGAGAGAACATCAGAGCCTGGGTCCTGGGAACTGAGGAAGATGAGGGAACACCAGACGCTGGAGTCTGAGGAAGGCAAGAGAATACTTTTTCCGGGCTCTCAAGGAAGAAGTGTTGGGCCTGAGGAAGAACGTACGTCATGTCCCAGCAGTGACAGACTTGCTCCATTTCCTAGACATGGACACCTTGGCTCCTCGGACAAGGATTCTTTGCTTAAGCAAACTGTAGGCAGGTCCCTCTGCACCCTTTCTCCACCAAGGCTCATCTCTGGAATCATCTTAGCAAGAATCATGGTAATCCAGTTTGTCAAGAATTCCCTAACCTTGCCCTCGCTGGTTTGGCTCAATGGATAGAGCGTCAGCCTGCGGACTGAAGGGTCCCGAGTTCAATTCCGGCCAAGGGCACATGCCTGGGTTGCAGGCTCTTCCCCGGGGGCATGCAGGAGGCAGCCAATCAATGATTCTCTCTCATCATTGATGTTTCTATCTCTCTCTCTCCCTTCCTCTCTAAAATCAATAAAATATATTAAAAAAAGAATTCCCTAACCTTGATATCTAATAAAACTCCTCATCCTCATTATGTCCCCCAGGTGACATCCAGTCACCCTGGCTTGCCCCTAGCAAGAATCCTTTCAGGTGGGTTCCACCAAGACCCTCTCAACCTCCCCCCAAATGACTTGATATCTCCTCTTTGTCACTTTCTATCCACTAACAACCTCCTCCCCAACCCCATCCCATCCCTATCTTTCTCCTTGTCAATAAACCCCCCACTTGTTCTGGTTGTATTCGGAATTAAGCCAGGTTCAATAATGCAGTCTCTCTTCTCCTCTTATAATTTTTTATGGAATATAATCTATTTTCAGCCCAGCCAGTGTGGCTCAGTGGTTGAGTATCAACCTGTGAACCAGGAGGTCAGGATGCAGCAAACCCAGGTTGCGGGCTCCAGCCCCAGTAGAGGGTGTGAAGGAGGCAGCCCATCAGTGATTCTCTCTCATCATTGATGTTTATCTCTCTCTCCCTTCCTCTCTGAAATCAATAATACTTTTAATTTAATTATTTGAATGTTTTTAAAAATATTATTGATTTTTTTACAGAGAGGGAGGGAGAGGGATAGAGAGTTAGAAACATCGATGAAACAATCAGCTGCCTTCTGCACGCCCCCCACTGGGGATGTGCCCTTGACCAGAATCGAACCCTGGACCCTTCAGCCTGCAGGAAGAGGCTCTATCCATTGAGCCAAACTAGTTAGGGCAAAAAAATATATTTAAAAAAAATCTACTTTCACCGCTTTAACTTCTATCCAGCTCTGGTTTATCTTTGACAAGACCCACCCGCAGTGGTTCTCAACCTTCTGGCTCTTTAAATACAGTTCGTCACGTTGTGACCTAACCATAAAATTATTTTCGTTGCTACTTCATAACTGCAATGTTGCTACTGTTATGAATCGTCATGTAAATATCTGATATGCAGGATGGTCTTAGGCGACCCCTGTGAAAGGGTCGTTCGACCGCCAAAGGGGTCGCGACCCACAGGTTGAGAACCGCTGAACCACGGTGTCTGTGTCACATTTAACTCAAACCTTTCCACCGCCCCTCGCTGGGCTTCCGGGGAAAGTCCCCACGAGAACTTGGGCTGGTTTTAGTCACGCCCCCAGCACTGCAAGCCCCGCCCCTTCCGTCTTGCCAAGGACGCACATTTAGCCCCGCCCCCGCGTACGTACCTCAGTCCTGTCGCTCCCTCAACCAGAGGACGTTAGCCCCGCCCCAAGCTTCCGGCCTGCCCCTCCTCCAATCCTAGGAACTTGGTGGACATTAGCCCCGCCCCCTACAGGCTGCCCTTCCTGTCCCCGCCCCGCCCTCCTCCACATCGAGAATTAGCCACGGCTCCATCACTTCCGACCCTAAGCGCCCTGCTTTCTCCCCAAAGGACGTAATAACCAGTCTCGTCTCCTACCAACTAGTTCTAACCCAGTCAGCACTTCCGGCACAGTCTTCTCCCCGTTCCTTCTTGCTCCAACTTCCGGTTCACCCCACGCGTGGGCGCCCCCCTGGGCGGGCATCACTTGTCTCCCGGCCTGCGTCGCCGCCCACGCAGGGGTTGTTGGGACTTTTCGGCCTGGCGTGCACCGACCCCCTCCCCCGCAGTTGTCCCTTGCCCGGCG